TTTAATTTTAATTTTATTAATAAATATTATCTATTAACTATTAAAATTATAACATTGATTATGAATTTATATATTAAGTAGATGATTAGATAATTAATATTTAATGATATTTAGATTAAATTATACATTAAATTTTCATTTTTATCCTAATTCTATTATTATTTTTATAAGATAAAAATAAAAATTGAAAGTATATTTTAGTTTAATTATTATATCATTTAGATATTTTTAATGTTATAATTTCAAGAGATAATGAACAACCATTTAGTAGTGAGATAAAAATTGTAAAGTTTATAGAATTAGAGTAAATTTATAAAATTATAAGTCAGGGAAACAAAATTGCAGATTAAATATTATAGGGATAAAAAGTAAAATTTATCTTTTGTTTTAATATTTAATTTAAGAAAAAAGTTAAAAATGAAATAATAGTATAATATTTTGTACTCTACACTCTAACTCTAGTCGGATGTAGGACATTGTGTATACTTATATTCTAAACACTATATTTATATACTCGTTCTATCCTGTCTCGAGTTTCCGGTGTATTGTGATGGTAAGTGTGGTGACCTGCCGGGTCGTTACAATCAACGTTAAAGTAAAGACAACAAACTTGTTGCTTTAGTTGAAACGAATGTTGTAACAAAAAAATCCATTTAACGTAATACAGAAGAAGACAGCCAAATATATTGGTACGAAATTTCGTAGCTCGTCAACGTTCGTTTAAGTACATAATTACTGGCCCAAACATACTCTAACAATTTCGAATTAGTTAACACACCCACTTTTTGTTGCCATTCAAAACTTTTTCGAATATTCTATATATTAATTTTCTTTCATTATTAAAAATCTACTGAAAGTTATAAAATTGTTAGAGTCATTAAATAAAATATAAAATTTATAATTTTTTTATTTTCAATAATTGAACTGTATGTATTGTCCAAAAAAAATTTATACAGTATCTGTTTAAAAAAAGAGAAATTCTACGGTACCCATCTTATTTGAGAAGGTACCGGTACAGTTTTTTATATTTTATATTTTTAATAATTTATTTAAATAATATTTATGATATTTT